AGAGCAGCTTTCATCCTCATTCGGAATACAGATTGGACTAGGAGGCACTACAGGCCTGTTAAACTCACAGTTTAGTTTTCTCTTATTACAGAAGAAAGTACCCCATGTTTCAAACACAGGGAATAGAGAAACACACAAAGAGGCATGAGTAGATTCAGGCAGAAGCGGTAACAGCAGCACAGCTTAAAATAGCCAAAGCTGAAACAACTCAGATCTCCTAATACAACACTGCAAAATAAATTATGCTACAGCCAGCAGCAGAACTCCATGAAGTTATTACAAAGAATGAGTGAGAAATACTAGCAGATTTTTAAATGTCCTTGGTTTTGTATTAGGAGGAAAAAAAACAGGTTCCAAAAACACTGTCAACAAAGACAATCCTATTGTTATTTACATTTATACATGTGTGTGGATAAAGTATATAGGTGTGTACTATGTTTTATTTACACACAAAATATTCTGGAAGCACACACACCAAACCATTCATTGTGATTGACTTTCATAGGGGAGGGAGGAAACGATGAGGCTATGAAATAAAGAAAACGTCCACTTTAAATTTTGTTATTTTAAATGTATTGTTCCACAAATACGCACCGCAATCACAGTCAGTGACATGAATAAAAATATTTTCATTTTTAAAGAAATGACATAGGGCCTCCTATATTAACAAGAATGGCAGAATTCCCTTGTGACCAACCACCTGAGCTCCCTGACATTAATTACATAATCAGATCACTTCACCTCCGGCTTAATGACTTGCCCATGGCTTCCCACTGCTCATATAATCAAAATCCCCCCTGAGGGTCCCCGAGTCCCGGCTGCCTCAAAACATCAGCTCTCTGTGGCCCTTCACTAATGGGGTCCAGCTACGGAACCTATTTTTTCATCCCTCCAGACACAACAACCTGGTTCCCACCCTCAAGCCTTTGTTTGCACCAACCAGTCTGCCCAGGGATGACTTTTCTCCAGGCTCCTTCCCACCATCCCCACTTCAGAGGACCCCTCCCCACAATCTCGGTTACATCGGCCTGGAAGATTCTCTTCACAGCTCTCACTTGTCTCTGCAATTACATTATCGTCCATCTTGTCCTTTCAGGCCCAGGAGAGCAGGAGCCAGAGGGTTTCTTATTTCCTGGGGCCTCAGGAAGTACTTGGCACACCGTGGGCTCTGTAACTCATTGTTGGGTGTTTGATAACGCATCTCCTGATAGGAATCTGATCGGTACAACCGGACTTTTTCAAAATACATTTCACCTTCTCACATATGAAACAAAATGCATACCACCATGACAGAGCACCTATCTGACCACACACTGGAGGCCTAGATCATCATTCCCCACTCAGAAATGCAGATTACCTGGAGAATTCAAAATAAGGATGAAGTTTAGATGGTTATTTCAGGCAAGTCCATCAAGATATATTTAACCGTGAATCCTGCTTGGGAAAGGCAGGAAAGGAAGTTTCTCTGTGACCACCTTTCTTGAGTTGTCAATCCAAATGGGCAAATGAACCCTGAGGAAGAGCAGGTATCTAGGCAGGTTGGTCTTTTTTTTTTTTTTTTTTTTTTTTTTTTTTTTTACAAATAGTTTATTGTCAAATTAGTTTCCACATAACACTCAGTGCTCATCCCCATAAGTGTCCTCCTCTANATTGTCAAATTAGTTTCCACATAACACTCAGTGCTCATCCCCATAAGTGTCCTCCTCTATGCCCATCCCCCCCTCCCTCCCACATCCATCAGTCCTCAGTTTTTGTCAGCATTCAAGAGTCTCTCATGGTTTGCCTCTCTCCCTTTTAGGCAGGTTGGTCTTAACTGGAGCCAGCAAAACAGCTTGCTCAAAACAGGAGTAAAAGAAGGTATCGAGATACAGGGGCCTAAATATGTCATTTTTTCAAACTTCCATCTGTTCTCTCAGAAAGGACTTCTCAAACAATTCTTCATATCGCTATTCTTTTAACATTTATTCATTTATTTATTTTTAGAGACAGAAAAAGAGAGAAATCAAGAACACATGCACTGAAGAGGGGTAGAGAGAGAGGGAATCCCAAGCAGGCTCATCAGTGTCAGTGCAGATCTTGATGCGGGGCTCGGACCCATGAACTGTGAGATAATGGCCTGAGCTGAAATCAAGTCGGATGCTCAACCAACGAAGCCACCCGGGAGCTCCATATTGCTGCTATTTTTTAGGGATATTCAATTTCACATGCCAGCACATGCCTTAATATTCTGGAAGAATTGCACCTATGATGACCTAGTGTTCCCATGATCTCCACCTTAGTCATCTTGGGAGAGAGGGAGAATCTGAGCTTTAAGAGCAGGTAAGCTCAGTGTACTGCTTGTTTTTAGGGTACTTCCCACACCACTGACCTGTCTTTTGCACAGGTTTTCTCACTGAAAACACATGCGTAGGAAAAGGCAGAGATTTCTTGGCTGAAAATGCCAAGGAACAAATTCTATTGGGTGCTAAGCCTCACACTAAACAATTACTTTTCAGCAACAAAGACAACAGCAAATAGAAACACACGACAACTCCACACAGCCTCGCTGTCGCCTAGGAAAGCGACAAAGAGCAGGCGTTTAACCCTCCCATTTAAAGCTCAGAACAACCTCCCTGCCCAACACTCAAGTCCTCCTGGGGTATTTCCCCTCTGGTGGCCTGTGTTGAATAGTCTGAGTTAACAGGAAGGAATAAACAGGCAGCCACCCTATGAACAGGCGTAAGTTTTCAGTCGTACAAGATGAGCAAGTTTGAGAGATCAGCTGGACCACACTGTGCCCATAGTAACAATGTTGTATAGGTACACTCAAGCATTCCCTCAGGGTGGATATTACAGTCGGAGTTTTTATTACAATAAAATAAAGGTTTTTTTTTTTAAGAATTTAAGTTTTTAATTTAATTGTATTTAATATATATGACTTTTATACACAAAATTTAATATTTACCTACTATATACCACAGATATATGTATGTGTGTACACACAGACACACACATCCTTTTCAATTCTTCAAAACATGTTCTCTTTTGGTTCTTTTCCTGCTACCTCCCCCTAGGCAGTTAAGACAGTAGTCTTAATCTTAACCTAAAAGATAAGGAAATGAAAGCAAAGGATAGTAACACCATGTTTAGCAGAAATTGACTTAAAATGGATTTTTTTTTTTTTTTTTTTTTTTGCATCTCAAGTTGGGGCGAAAGTTTGGAGCTGTTCACAGCTGTATTCCCCTGAGTCTTCTTACTTCTGAGACCACGGTCACACCTGTCATCAGCACACAGTGAATCCTTGGGGCTTCTCACCTGAGCAGGACTAACACAGTACCACCATGAAATGAAGGCAACACCAGGCTTTGGGGTCCCACAGGGGTTGACGCAAATCACCAGCATTAATCCCAGCTCTACAACTCTGGGCAAGTCACTGCACCTCTCTGTATCCACTTCCTCATCTATAAAATTAGGGTAGTGACACCTATATCTCATAGGATTGTTCTGATGATTAAATGAGACAAATCAGAGAAAGTACTTAGCACCGTTTCCAAAGCATAGCAAGAAAATGAGTAGTTAAGACTGGTCTAAAAGTTTAACATCTAGATCAAAACCTATCATCAGAACAAGAATTCTACAAAAACCACTTGGCTCCTTACCAGACCATAAAACCCACAGCTCTATGTTTAGGGCCTACAGGCGCTCTGAAAATAAGCAATAAAAAAAGGGAAAAGGAAAAGGGAAAAAAATGAAAAGAAATGAAAAGAAACGAAAAGAAAAGAAATCTTCCATTGCTAGCAAATGCTGATAGTATTTCTCTCACCAGGGAGGAAAATTAAGAAAACCACATGGATACCCAGACAAGATTCTTATGAGGGCCATAGTATGCATCCACTAATAAACTGGCATCCTGTTTTTATACATCAGTTCTATAAGCCTAATTAATCTGAGTCCCCTGTCTTTGTGCCATTAAAACGAAACCTCAGCCTATAAGGCCATAAAGCAGACTCTGCAGAGCCTCAAGGAGGCCAGAAGAACATTATCAATGGGGTGATGGGGCACTTGAAGGATGCTTCCTCTAGACGAACTACTTTACTAGCAGGGGTAACATAGCTTCTAGAGAGTCTATGGGGATCAAGAGGAAGAAACAAACAAGGGAAAAGTATAGTGGCTTTTCAAATGCATAAGAACCTCCAAGTATAAAGGAAAACCACAGTAAGACACTACTCATACCCACCAGGATGGCTAGAATCAAAGAAGCAGACAATAACAGGTGCTGAGGAGAAGGTGGAGAAATTGGAACCCTTGTACACTGCTGACGGCAACTTAAAATGGTGCAGCTACTTTGGAAAAGTTTGAAAACTCTTCAAATGTCAATTATAGTTATCACAGAGCCAGCAATTTGTACTCCTAGGTACAAAGCCAGAAGAAATAAGAACATTATTTCCATACAAACACTTGTACACAAATGTTTATAGCAGCATTATTCATAATAGCCCAAAATGAAACAACCTAAGTGTCCATCAACTGATGAATGGATAAACCAAATGTGGGACATCCATATAATGGAATATGATACAGCAATAAAAAGAAAGAAAATACTGATACATGTACAATGTGGAGGAAGGCTAGAAACATTATGCCAAATGAAAGCCTAAAGAAAGGAAGAAAATATGTAGAGCCACAAAGATCACATCATGTATGAATCCACTTATACGAAAGGTCAGGATTGGGCTAAACTATACAGATCAACAGATCAGTGATTTCCTAGGACTAGGAGGCAGAGGGGAAGGCAAGTTGGAAGGAGTAGGGGAAGCTAAAAGGAGTGGGGCCTCTTTTCATGGCAATGAAAATGTTTTGATCAAACTGTGGTGACAGATGCATAATGCTATGAATGTATTAAAACCACTGACTTGTACACTTTAAATGCATGAGCTGCATGCTGTGTGAATTATATTTTAATAACATTATTTTTTAAAAACATGCTTGGGGCGAGGGTCGGATTTAACCGTCACAGGGAAGCACACTCTACGGGATCGCGGAGGGGGCTGAGGTAGTGAATTCCTAAGAAGAAAATAATGGATTTCATATTAGTTTTTCTCTAACTGTTTGGACTCATCAGTGTATAGGTTTCTTGCAAAGGCTAAAAGAAGATGGCAACTCCTTATGTCCCAGTTCCCATGCCCATAGGGAGCTCTGCTTCCAGTTTTACAACCAACAGAAGCCAAAGAAGTTCTTCTTTTGGGAGTATCTCAACAAGCTCAAACTCTTCCAAAGGCCAGTTAGAGGACTCAAATATGGGTAATTTTAAACAGACAAGTGTACCTGACCAAATGGAAAGTACTTCATCTGTCTGTAGCAGCCCCCTCATTAGGACCAAATTTACAGGTGCAGATTCTTCCATTGAGTATTCCACTAGACCAAGAGAAAGTGAAGAACAAAATCCTGAAATAGCACCTTTGGAAGATAGACCTTCTACACCTACTATACTGGGTTATGAGGTGATGGAAGAAAGAGGTAAATTTACCGTATATAAAATACTAGTAAAGAAAACCCCAGAAGAAAGCTGGGTAGTTTTTAGAAGATACACTGACTTTTCTAGGCTTAATGATAAATTAAAAGAGATGTTTCCAGGCTTTCGATTAGCACTTCCACCAAAACGCTGGTTCAAAGATAACTACAATGCCGACTTTTTAGAAGATAGACAATTAGGATTACAAGCGTTTCTTCAAAATTTAGTGGCTCACAAGGACATTGCTAACTGCCTTGCAGTGAGAGAATTTGTCTGGATGATCCACCAGGTCCATTTGATAGCCTAGAAGAAAGCAGGGCCTTCTGTGAAACTTTAGAAGAGACAAACTGCCGTTTTCAAAAAGAACTACTTGAAAAACAAAAAGAAGTGGAATCACTGAAGAAACTCCTCAGTGAGAAGCAACTTCATATAGATACTCTAGAGAACAGAATTAGAACATTGTCTTTAGAACCTGAAGATTCTCTGCACATGTCAGGAACAGAAGGCAGACATGCCCCAAAGGTGGAGTCCTCTGCACTTGAGGTTGATAGAGATGTTGTACATGAAGAATCTAGAGCTGATGATAAGCCCTGCTTAAGTTGTAGTGAACCTGAAAATTCTGTATCAGACAGAGAAGTAGCAGAAGTGGCATACAATGCAGAAGACGACTGATACACAACGAGCAGTTACTTACATTTGTATGTTTCAGCAAATATAGAATCGAATGATAGTTAAAAATAAAAAAGACTGAAGCATTTATAGAAAACTAAGATTGCACGTGTATAAAGTTTACATAAAGAGAAGTTTTTTTAAGTTATTGGGATAGGAAATGTATTCATTGCTGCTTTAAACTGTCTTTTATCCAACCTTTGTATTTAATAGACTAAAAAAAATCTAGTTAGAATTCTGTTATCATAACTAAATCCTTAAATAATGTGCATAAATTATTTTGGCGTTTTGCCAATATACTGCTCCAAACTTGTGCGTGTGTGTGTGTGTGTGTTATACTTGCCAATTATATCAGTTAAATGGACATTAAATGCATGTTGCTATCTGATTGATATATACTTCTTTGTATCTCTGACATGATATATTTTCATTAGTGGTTTAAATCAGTGGTAAAGATGAATTAAGTTTTAAATGTTGACATATTTACCATCTTTAAATAAAAATTGCCTGTTGCAATGTTATTGCTATTTAAAAAGAAGAAAACTTTCTAATACCAAAGGAAAACTATTTGAAAGAGCTATAGTAACATATAATAACATAACTAAAGTGATAAAATAGCCTTGATTTTAAAAAGTAACTCACGGGGCGCCTGGGTGGCTTAGTCGGTTAAGCGTCCGACTTTCGCTTAGGTCATGATCTCGTGATTCGTGGGTTCGAGCCCCGCGTCGGGCTCTGTGCTGACTGCCGGCTCAGAGCCTGGAGCCTATTTCAGTCTGTGACCCCCTCTCTCTCTGACCCTCCCCTGCTCACGCTGTCTCTCTCTCTCTCTCCTAGAAATAAATAACACATTAAAAAAATAAAAAGTAACTCAGTATCAGAATATTGTAAGTGTCCTAGTTTATTATAATATGTTGTACTGATTTTCCACATAATCATCATCTTAAATCACTACCTGTAGCATCGGTGAGTTTGCCTCTTTCAGAATACTACCTCTTTTTGCTAATCAACATATACTCTTTTGAAAATATTGATTCTAAGCAAATAGGGAGTTCTACAAAGAAACACAAAATAAAAAGCCATATATACTATAAAGTTCCTAACTATGTTGACTCCTGGGATTGCATTTTTATCTCTGTATATGTGAATATGTTGCTATATAATGTATTAAAGCTGATTTTCCTTTTAATATATTTAGCCAAGTGATGCACTTTATTATAATTAAACTCTTTTGTGCCAAGTTTAATTGGTGAATTTCTTTAGTAAGTAGAGTTAGGAATAAATTATGTAGTGCCTTCACTATTTCACTTTTATATACCAGTCTGCTAGGGTCTGTGAGTCAGCTTTATGAAAAAGTGTTCATTTCTGATTTGCTTATAGTTGTTGAAAGTGCCTTGTTTTGTTTTTATAAGATGAAGTTAACTCATTTATTTTCTATTTCCACTGCTTTGCATATTGCTGTTAATAAGCACTGTGATCATTCTGAAATTCCAGTCGGTTTTTTGAACTGCATGTGCTTTCTAAAAGCTGACAGAAACTTACTGGGGAAAAAGAATAACCATCTCCAATTTTGTTTTCCTCAATATCTAAAAGTTTATCAGTGTCTTGATGTACATACCAAAATGTTTAAAATTCTACTTAAGTAGACTAAGAGATCAATTGGCAATTGTCAACTTTTGATCTAAAAAGGAGTCTGCTTCTTACCAAAGTACCAAAAATTTTAAAAAGCCTTTGTTAAAACGTACAGGTATGTTTTGTGTCAGAATATTTTCCACAAGGTATATTAGAAATGTGTTTACTATCTTGGGAGATAGAATATAATAAGCTATCTATTCATTTCAAAATATTCTAGGCCTATAAAGGCTTAAAAAGAACAATCATTTAAATTAATATTTTTAGTCTAATAAAACAAAATGATCTTTGCATTTTAGACGTTTTAGTGCTATATACATGTCTATTTTAAAGTGAACCATACGTTTTCAAAATCTGGCCTTTAAGAACATTGTATGTAAAGTTTGGATGAGTAAAGAAAAACCCTTGTTGATAGCCACTATTTATATTTAGAATTTACTTTTGTTTACTTTTGTGATGCATTTTATTCCCAGTATTATATTCATTTAATAAATTATTTTTTCAGTACAGCAGTAGCTATGTTGTTTAGATGTTGAATACTATTTTCCCCTTCAATTTCAATGTTCTCTCTACCCCTTACAAATATTGTAAATTTAATTATACTTAACTGCTGCATCCCACAGACGTGGAAGGAGTTTATGATTTTTTTTAAGTTTATACTTCATATTACTGATAACTTTAAGTCTTTGTGAATAGGTGCAGTGCACTTCAAATGTAACCAATATTAATTAAAAAACTGAACATAATTCAAGCAGAAAAAATAAAATAAAATAAAATAAAAACATGCTTGGGGCACCTGGGTTGCTCAGTCAATTGAATGTCTGACTCTTGGTTTTGGCTCAGATCATGATCCGAAGGTCATGAGATCAAGTGCCACAACAGGCTCTATGCTGAGCATAGAGCCTGCTTAAGGTTCTTTCTCTCCTTCCCTGCTCACTCGCTCGCTCTCTTTCTCTCTCTCTCAAAATAAATAGACATTTACAAGAAAAACATACTTAATCTCTGTTTTTCCTGGAAAACCAGCTGTTAAAAATAACCCCCATTTATAAGATACCTAATATTTGTCAAACACAGTGCCAGGCAACTTACCTGTATTATCTCATTTATTTCTCAAAACAATTTTATGAGGTAGACAAACAAACAACTCAAATACTCCTCTAGATGCCTTCTACTTAGTGACATGAGTAGGGTGAATACAGGGAGATGCTGGTAAAACCCAGGCTGACTGAAAATTCAAAGGGTGCAACCGTTTAGAGAAAGGCAGGAGATGGGGAGGAAAAAAAATTACCAAAATTCTGTTTGGTGCAATTTCATAGCCATCCCTGCCTAAGGAAGGCTGCAGACACTGTTGTAGGTCTCTTCAGAAGACAAGTAATCATATGTTAAAGCACCCGGTGGTGTTCATGTTGAGTACAATAGTGCCCAGTAGGATAATCATAGGACGGCAGTATAAACATAGAGGAAATGAGTGAGAGTTTTATTCCTTGTTCCCAGACTGGCTTGCTTTTTTTATTCCTCCAAAAGGAAAAAGTATCTCTGATAGGATTACTAAAATAGCATATGTACCTTATAAAATCTTTTTCAGAAAACGCATGATGTAATAAAGAAGAAAGTAGCCATCAAGCCATAACCAGCACCAATAGTTGGTGTTCGTCAGTAAGTCAATGGCAAATACTACACACAGTTAAACTGAATTTCCATGTTTAACAGCTAACACAGAGGAAGAGCTCAGGAGACCAAAGGGAGAAGAAACGTGCCATGAAAAACTCTGACCCTGAAACTTCAAAGATGACTGTGGAGAAACCAAGCCCACAGACCTGTCCTCTGAAAACAGGACCACGCAGAGAAGGCAAAGAGCCTGCTGAAAACTTCTGCTGCCAAGAGTGGTCACAAAAAGAGAAAGACCCGGTTCTCACTGGTCTATCTTAAACCTCCCCACTTCAAGGAAGGTTCCTGAATTAAATCTGCTCACCACAAAGCACGGGGAGCAGAGCAGAAGGTGGAGGAATGACAAATCCGGGAACTTCCAGGCCCACGTTTCCAAACGGTGACCATCCTCAAGGTGAAGGGACCCATGCACAGTGTTGGGCCCTGATGTCCTTGGGGACAGAAACCTCTCCACTCAACAAATGCCTTGTTCCATTCAGTGGGTGCCAAAGGGGAGGCCACAGCCATGGACAAAGATGTGTTCCTGTTCCTTGAGAGCAAAGCCACAGAGCCCTCGGCCCAGGATCCAGCAGGCCCTACCCAGCTGCCAAGCTTGGCCTGAAACAAGCAACGCTTCAAAGAGCACGCAAGAAGTCCAGGCTGCAGCCAAAATAAATGAAATTCATTTGCAAGGCCTTGGAGACACAGGAGGGCCGTGGGGCTTGCTTGTCACGGCAGCCATTTGCCAAGGGACTGAGACGTGACAGCTGCTCCTGGGCATGGCATCCTGCCCCTTGACTGCTCTTGCAGTTGATCTGTGTTTAGCCAGCAGCCACCCATTTCCCCACCTTCCAGAGTTAGAACCCAAGCCCAGGACTGCATTTTCAGTCCTATCTTTGTATAGCTCTCAATTCATCTGGATCCATACCACTCTTCTTCTCTCTCCAATTAAATCTGGGTTGCAGCAAATTGCTAAGAAAGGGCATTTCTAGGGGCACCTGAGTGGCTCAGTCAGCTAAGCGTCCGACTTTGGCTCAGGTCATGATCTCACAGTTCGTGGGTTCAAGCCCCACGTAGGGCTCTGTGCTGACAGCTAGCTCAGAACCTGGAGCCTGCTTCTGATTCTATGTCTCCCTCTCTCTCTGACCCTCCCCTGCTCATGCTGCCCCCCTCTCTCTCCCTCTCTCTCTCTCTCTCAGAAATTAAAAAAAAAAGGGCGGGGGCATTTCTAGGAGGACGGGTTGGGGGGCGGGGTGGGAGGAGAAGCTGGAATGAAAAACTAGTAAAACAAAGACACACAAATGATCATGAGGAAATTTCAGAGGAAGCTGGATGTAGGTTCAAACCCCAGTTGTATCCATTACCAAACATGAGCCTTCAGAAACACTATTTCCCTTCTCTACCAGGTGTCAAATAATGTGTCTACCTAACACAGAGCCCAGCATGATACCCGAATACCCGACACACAAGAGATGTTCAATAAATACTTATCATCTTAATGAAAGTTACTGCAACTTTACCTAAGATGAAGGGCTTCCATGACTCAACCTTTCATTCTGCAACTCTTTAAATGAGCACCTAGTAAATGCCAGGTGACATGGGAATACAAAAATTAAGACACTTAAGGATTACCCTTGTCCTTGTGAGCTTAAAATCTTCTGAGGGCAACAGTCAACAAATGTACCAATACATACATTAATACAGGTAATTTGATCTGTGAAAGAAAAAAAATCATGGCACTACAAAAAAGGAATATGGTGGGGGTAGGGGGGCAAGGCAGAAAAGATCTGGCCAGTTATTAAGTTGTACTTTCTTAGTCACCTAAGTTCTGTAGCCTGAGTCTGGGAAATGGTTCAAAAAGGAAACAAAAGGATTCTCATTCCCATCTGAAATTCTGGCAACCCAGTTACCAAAAGAAATACAAATACCAAAAAAACATCTGAGAATATGCTCAGCCTGATAACTAAACACATGCACCTTAATGTGGAGAATTTGATTTCCCACCTGGACAAATAGCTCAGATCAAAAAGAATGATAACA